TTTTTCTATCTTAGATCTATGAATATGGTATTATATTAATAGATTTCCTAATATCGACTCAACCTCACATTCCTGGATTAAATCTGCACAGTCATGTATCATTTCTTTATGTGTTGCTATATTCTCCTCACTAATATATTATTTAGAACTTTTATATCAATATGGATAAGTAATACTGGCCTATAATTTTTTAAATTTTTCATACTGTATTTATCAGGTCATACTTATCCCCAACATTTTCATTTATTTGTTCTTCCTCTATGATTAAATTAGCTAGGTCCCAAATTTGTTAATTAAAACAATGGTTTTATTAATTAGAACTATTTATATCAATTTATGGTTTCACCTTTATTATTTTCTTCATTGGCTGTTTATTTACCTTGTTCTTTTTCTAGCATTTTGGGCTGAGAAACTTAATTCATTTATTTTCTTTCATTTTTAATGAAAAAGTATATAAAAATTATTAATTTCCTCCAGCTACTGCTTTAAGTATATCTCACAAAGTCTGCTATGCTGAGTTTTTATTATTTTTTAGAAATTCATAATTCCAGCTTATATTTCTTACTTGCTCTTTTCTTATATGATAACAAGTCTTTTTTTGTTTTAACTTCATGTTATTTGGAATGGTTTGTAGTTTGTTCTGTTACCTTTATACAACTAGAGAAGTGTAATGCTAGTCTCAGTCTCTTCCCCTTATAAGCTATTTGATCTTTTTGCCTAGAAGCCCTGAATATGTTTTATTATTAATATCTAATAATTTTAGTAGATACTACTTGGTAGTTGATTAATATAGGTAATTTTCTCAGGCACTTTGTCAGCCCTGTCAATTCATAGATTTCAGTCTTTTATTTCCAGACATTTTTCTCAGATTACAGACTCAATATTAGTTCTGCTCCACTGTTTTACCTTCTTCGGTGACTCTACTGATATAAAAATCCTATCTTCTTTTTTTAAATAAGATTGATTTATTTAGAGAGGAAGAGCATGCATCCGTGAGCAGGGGGAGGGGCAGAGGGAGAGGAGAGATGAATCTCCAGCAGACTCCCTGCTGAATGTGGACCCCCCCCCCATGTGGGGCTCAATCTCACCATCTTGAGATCATGACCTGAGCCAAAATCAAGTCAGATGCTTAACTGACTGAGCGACCCACGTGCCCCTAAATTTTCTCTTCTTTGCTTGACTTCTAATTCAAACACTTCCTGACTCATTTTACTTCTTTCCACATCACATTTTCATTCTCTTGGTTTTCCTGCCTTTCTTCAATGTTGTGTATTAAGATATCTTTCAAATCTATTCTTGAGACAGCTGTTCTTTAATATTTTCTTCTAATACAATTTTGCCTTTTCCGCCATTTCTTCTAGAGTAATGAACTATCAATTCATTTCTTTCTGTTTCTTAAATTTTTTTTTTTTTTTTTTTTTGAGAGAGAGAGATCACATGCTGGGAGGTCAGGGGTTGGGGGATGAGGGAGTGGGGGAGAGGGTACCCCAAGCAGACTCCCCACTGAGTTTGGAGCTGCGTGCAAGGCTTCATCTCATGACCCTGAGCCCATGACCTGAGCTCAAATCAAGAACTGGATGCTTAACTAATTGAGCCACCCGGGCACCCCTCTTGAACATTTATGTTCCTAGTTTTTGATTTCTAATTTAAAATGGTATCACAACTTTAGATGCTTGTTTGAGGATACTTAATAAAATCATATGGTTGTACTATAGTCTTTTTTTTTTTTTCCTGCTTCATTACTATTTTCCTGGGGGAGGGTTTCATTAGCAGAATTGTTTTTCTCAACTTAGACAATTTTTTTTAAAGAATAATAATTTTGTACACACAGGAGAGTTAGCTGATTTGGCTGGTTTGTGAAAATTTTAACTAAAGGACACTCTTGTATCAGGGTATCAAAGTATAGTTTCCTTACTATATGGCTTTTATGGGAGGGCAGGAAGGATACTATGGGTAGAAAGAATGTGTGTCCTTCAAGTTTTAAAAAATTTTCTTTAGTGGGACACCTGGGTGTCTCAGTCAGTTAAATGTCCGACTCTTGATTTTGACTCAGGTCACGATCTCAGGGTCATGAGACTGAGCCCCGCCCTGGGCTCTGCACTCAGGGCCACGGGCGGAGGGGTAGCTCGGGGGTGGGGGGGGTGTCCTGCTTGAGATTCTCTTTCTCCCTCTGCTTTTGCCCCTACCCTCCCAAATTAATAAATAAATCTTTAAAAAATAAAATAATTTTTCTTTAAAGTTTTATACTATCCAAATATATTACAGCTCTTTTTTTGTTGCTGTATTTTAGTTAACACATTTTTTGACAAACATTTCCTTTTTTTGATCATTTTATTTGGGTAGGGAAATTCTGGAAGTCATACTTAATCTGTTAATTAACCTTGAATTCTTAAAGTCAGTACTTCACTCTCCCTGTCCCTGTGTATTCATACACTTTATTTTTTAGAGGCATTTTAGGTTCACAGCAAAATTGAGCAGAATGTGCCAAGATTTTCCATATCTCCATACAGAGCCTCCTCTTATGAACATCCCCCACCAGAGTGGGACACTGGTTACAACTGATAAACCTATGCAAACACATCATTATGAACCAGGGTTCACAGTTTACACTGGGGTTCACTCTTGGTGCTGTATGTTCTATGGCTTGGACAAATTTATAATGACAAGTATCTACCATTTTAGTATCATACAGAATAGTTTCACTGCCCTAAAGATTCTCTATGCTTCACCCATTCATCACTCCTCATATATATATATATATATGTTTTTATAGGATAAAAATTACCCATTATCAATCTTAACCTATTACTATTAATATGCCTATAATGATAAACTGATTTAAATCCTAAATAAATGTGTCTTCTACACAGAGAGTCATCATAAAAAAATCCACTAAGAGAATGGATTAATTTTTAAAATATACATATTCTAAATTATGAGAGTGAATTCAGTTTATTCTCTTCCACCTACATTTGTGCCACTAGGATACTCTATTTTGCTATGTTTATTATCCACATCATCAAAAAGATTCATTTTTAGTCAGTATACACTATTTACTAAACTATTAAAATAGACTTACAGCCCTCTGAGAACATTTCAACAACTATCTTAAAAGAAGCAAAAAATTCAACTTAACATAATTTCCCATTGCCTGAGCCTTCTTGTTTGTTTGTTTGTTTTAATTTATTTATTTGACAGACAGAGATCACAAGTAGGCGGAGAGGCAGGCAGAGAGAGAGGAGGAAGCAGGCTCCCTGTTGAGCAGAGAGCCCGATGTGGGGCTCCATCCCAGGACCCTGGGATCATGACCTGAGCCGAAGGCAGAGGCTTTAACCCACTGAGCCACCCAGGTGCCCCCTGAGCCTTCTTGCTAATTGAATTTTTACTCTATACTATCTCTACCTTGTTCCTCACATTCTATGACATTCATTCATTATATACTTACTGTATCAACTCTATCAATAATTGTCTATAATGTGACAGGCTCTGGTAATACACTGGTGGAAAATATGGACAAGATTCCTTCCCTCATGAAGCATACATTTTAGCAGGGAGCTGAGGACAAAAATCATAGTGTAACAGAGGACAGTGTGACAGAGTGCCTGGGGTGGGTGAACATGGATATGGAGATGATGGTTATTTAAGGGATGGCAGTCAATGAAAACTTCTTTAAAGTGATATTTCAATAGAGACCTGATAAATGTTACCATTCAAAGACCTTAAGAAAGAAGTTTCAGGGCACTAAGAAAAACAAGTGCAAAGACAGCTGAGGCAGGAACCAACCTGAAGGAACAGCTAGGAGGTCAGTTTGCTGGGGTGCGGGGTATAAGGGGAGGCAGAAGCTGGCAAGGACATGATCATACAGGAGGCCATGATAAGCAGTCTGGATTGTATTCTGAATGTCACTGAGAGCCCCTGGAGAGTTTTACGTTTGGGTATAATATTTTCTCACTTATGTTTTCTAAGATCACTGATGACTATATGGAGAATGGGCTATGAGGGGACAAGAATGAGAGAGGAAAAGACCCAAGAAAGAGCCGTGGCAGTAGTCCATCCATGCAGCTTGCCCCACGTGGCTGAGAGAAGGTAGTAACAGTGAAGATGATGAAGAATCAGTGTAGACAGCGTGTGTGGCAGGGAACAGGGACAGGACATCCTAGTAAGCGGAAGTGGAGTGGTAAGGGGGAGGAGGCGAATGTAGTGACATGGGCGGTGGTGCTATGTACTGCCGTGGAGCAGGCAGGAGGAACTGGAGACCCAGAGTAGTGCAGGTCCCCCTGCAGTAGGGAACTCTTTCCCAGCCCCCACCTCACACGCACTGGCACGCAGAGAACTGGGAGGCAGAGATAAAAGACCTGAGCACTGTATCATACTCGCACCACTTATCCAACCCGAAGTGCTAGAGTCACAGCCCGAGCCTGTGCTGGGGGCAGGAGAAAAAGTAACTGAACCAGCTAAGCTCCTGGAGTTTAAAAATGCACAGGGTGAGTCTTAGACAATGAAATGTGATCACAGAAACTGGCCTGAAATGTTTTGTTATTGAACCAATATGTTGTTCAGGAAGATGCAGAACAGGGAAAAGAGGGGTGGACAGAGCACAGCCAAAAGCAGGAGCAGGAAAAGCTGCAACTCTCATATTCATTCCCAAGGTATTCAAAATACCCAAAAAATGAGCTACTAAAAGTGACTCAAGAATGAGGAAGTAAGTGGTCAGCTGTAACCAAAGCTGCTAAGCAGTTTAACAGAACAAAGGCGGAGAACCGACTTTTGAACTGCAGTGGGGGACCACCTTGATCAAAGTCGTGTTAGTACTGGGGAGAGACACAGAAAGCCCAATGGGCATAGGTTAAAAAAGACCAAAGCAGAACTTTTTAATCCTCCTACAGCTTCATTTCCTAGCACGCTTCACAGAAATGTCACTGCTGCTCTTCAGCATTCCGCAACCAAAGCATACGCAATGCAGGGAATAGTAATTTCCAAATAGATTTTGTTTCTCTTACCTTCACTGATTAAATTTAATGTGTCTTGTTTCCCATCTCCTTCTTGTGACTGACCTGGATCCAGTGAAGTCTGAGAAAGGCTGACTTCAGCTGATAACTGGTCAAGACTTTGATAACTTTTTCTGTAAAACAAGGGTGAAATACTACTTGGATTTCTTCTCACAAAAAAGAATTTCTAGAGATATTCTTTGATGATTTGCTTTAATTTATTGAATTTCTGGTTTATTTCTCCCCAGTTCTTCCCCTAAACTCTGTCTCTATTGTTGCTACAATATGATCTCCATTGTACTTTTCCCTCCACACTCTCTGGAGGCCTGTGTGTTTAATCTACTGAAAAAGGAAAAGAAAAACAATTTGTCAAACTAGTTTAAATCCTTGCACCAATTTTGATTATTTAGCTCGTGAGAAATTGGCAACCTTCTGGTTATTATCAATTTTCATAGAAGCAGAAAATCTACAGATTACTCTTAATGCAGAAACCAAAATGACATAACTTAATAATGACCTAGTATCTCCTCGGCACTTAAACATTCTTCAACGTTTTGATATTTTTACAGACGGTTTTTACATAATAATAAGTACAAATTATCACAAATTCCTGCAATTTAGAAGTTTAAAAATGTAGGATAATAACATAGCTGTTTCTGTTAATACACTATCAAGATAACCTCCTTCCCTTGTGTATTTGCTACTGTGACCTCAATTTCCATTAAACAAATTAATGAGAAATGAATTATAATAGAGGAAAAATTCAGTTATAAATGGAAAGTTATTAAGGCTTATTATTACACCCTCCTCATATTTGTTTTGTCAGGATAAAAACAACTCAAGAAATGCATGCAGCTTTGGTATTATTGACATTTCAAGAAGAGAATGGAATTCATTATTATTTCCAAATACATTGTGATCCAGGAGAAAGAATATGCTTTTCAGGTTTAACCTCTATTACCCAAGGTAGCCAAATCCTAACTAATTTCTTAGAAATGTCATATATTCTATGATAATATTACAGGAAAGTATATATAATTTAAATGATCTATTCCAGAGCTACTTTCTATTCATACATACACAGTAAGCTTACAAATTTATTGAAAGTATATATATTATGCATGAGAGGATATATACAACAGTATCTATTTGTTTTTTTCATCTAAGAAATGAAGGATGAGATGATGGAATAATTTTACCACTTTACAATGTAGGCAGTGTTCTCATTTTATAACATGATGACTTTTCAAATGTCAAGTATAAGAGTTCTTAGTTATATTTTTAAGTAGCAGGAAATACTATTGTAGGAAACCACTGATAATTATTACAATAGATAAAACACATATCAGCTATACAACATGTAATAAAGAAGGATACCCAGTATTTATATAATGCTTACCAAATGCTAGGTACTGTCCCTACACATTTTATATATATTAACTTATTTAATCCTCACAACTACCCTGCGAGGTTGGAATTACAACTATTCCCATTTTATACAGAGTAAACTGGGGCACAAAGAAGAGATCAGATTTTAACCTGGCAGCCTGGCTCTAATTCTGTCCCCTATCTAGGCTATCTCCTTCTCAGTACAGAAAGAAAAAAATTTGGTTTTCTGTTTTATTAAAAACCTTCTTAAAGAGCAGCCTTATGGCTGAGACTAACCATGTAAACTATACAGTACTGAATTATATCACTGAAAATTTTACTTGACTTATATTAAAAGTTTATTTCTTTAGCTACAGAAGAAAGCAGGAATGCAGGAATTCAACAAAGTTATGAATTTTCTTTCCTAATTATTTTTCTGTGCCTAATAGGTAGAAGACTTGTTTTTATACTTTTGGCTTTAAATGAGTTTCTGACACTGGTTTTTTCATCATAGGAAACTTGATAGTTAATATTAAATTTTAAAAATTCTAGAAATATTTACAAACAAAATACCCAGAAGCAAAAAAGACGTAAAATTAATTTGAAAATTATAAGGACTGAGAGCTCGTGGGCACATGTTTACAGCAATCTAGGACTGTCACTAGCTGCGGGGAGGAAAGCCTAGAAAAGCCTCCTCTGATAAAAGCAACATAAAATGAACTTTCTGCATTACCTACTGAAGTTCCTTTTAGAAATTACATTTCCAAGTGGAAAGTGATTGTGGAAACTATCTACCCTTCAATTTGTTACATTAAGTGAACAAGCTTGCATTTTATAGGATTCACTTAACCAAATGCTAATGAATATAGAAACAGAACTTGGTAGACCATGATTTCTGAAGTAATAATGGAAAGTCTAAGCCAAAGTAAAGTCCCTTATTCAAAAGATACTCATAACAGTACCATGTAATATTTTCCTTGCATGAAGATAATTACAGAGCCACCACCTGGGAGCAATCTAATCGAGCTGTTTGCAACAATGACAAGGAATTTCCAAATTCTTTTTCCATATTCTTACCTGATTGCCAATACAACTGGCAGCTCTTTCTGACAAGCATGTTGTCCTAGAGTAAACTGTCTGTGGGAGTTCTGCCTTTAAGAGGTCACCACTAAATCCTATTTTAGAATTCTAGACTCCTTAACATCATACTGTAAGATTCAAACGTAACCCACAAGTCACAAATCAATCAACAGTCTGTTCCCTGAAGCAGATTTTTTAAAATAGCAATATCTTTCTTCATCAAAGTAAGAACCCCACACAGTAAGATAAGGAATCATGTCAAGTATCATAAGCATCTGGGATGTAATAAAACCCATTTTCTTTAATATCTAATTATTTAAAATTTTAAATCACTCAAATACAAGCTATTATACAAGGAAACCAGATACCAAATAGAGGCAAATTAAAAGCAACTTGAGCAATAGGCTTGAATTCACTTATTAATAAATTTTCTACAATCTTAAACTTTATATCAATGATCAGAAGTCATGATGTCGATAATCTACATCACCTGTTTTCCCAATAGATGTAGTGAGGTCAATAATAATTTACATTATCTGGTAGTCATGGTAATCACTGAGCAAAAAAGAGTATTAGGCTCAGGAGACGTTATCCACATGAAGAAAATAAAAACACAGATTTGCACACTGTAGATGTAGAGGCACATGAATGTGCACGGAGCCAGTGACGGGCTGTTCTTTTTATTCTTAGTTTGATTTTCATAGAAATGTATTTAACGAACAAAATAAGCATTTCCTTTATCAGAATATCTATATACTCTTAATCTACTAAAATTAATGGAAGGATGCATGGGAGCCTGAAAGGGAAGGCCATATGTGAGTCAGGTCAATGCAAACCTCATAAGCTGTAAAAGATTTTTGCAGCCTCATTGCTTCAGGGAGTCCTACTCCAAAAGTACTGGGAAAATGTACATGGGAAAGAGAACTTATAAGACATCTGAAGTAATTATATCCACTCATAAGTCATCAAAAAAATTAGCCTACATAGATCACAAAGGGCATATAAAGGCTCATAATACTCAATAATCTGGTGAATGATAGCCAAATTAAAAGCAATGATAAATTTAGAAGAGTAAAAAAATTAAGTAGAAAATAAAAACATGAACAATGAATCTGATCTTTTAGGATGGAAATGAGTGGGCGAGGCAATAATCTAACAAGATTATATAACATATACTCTAGTAACAGTATATAACCAGTATCTAACAAGATCATGTGGCCTAGACTTTGCATATAAAAAACACTAAGCAGAACATACTAGAAAAAGAAAGTAAACAATTGCTATATGTGTGTGTTTTATATACTTATTTATTGTTGAGGTTTTTTATTTTTTATTTTATTTTTAAAATTTATTTATTTATTTATTTTTAAAGATTTTATTTATTTATTTGACAGAGAGAGATCACAAGTAGGCAGAGAGGTGGGCAGAGAGAGAGGGGGAAGCAGGCTCCCCACTGAGCAGAAGCCTGATGTGGGGCTCTATACCAGGACCCTGGGATCAAGACCTGAGCCAAAGGCAGAGGCTTTAACCCACTGAGCCACCCAGGTGCCCTTTATTTTATATATATATATATATATATATATATATATATATATATATGTGTGTGTGTGTGTGTGTGTGTGTGTGTATGTGTGTGTGTGTGTGTGTATTTTTTTTAAGATTTTATTTATTTATTTGACAGACAGAGATCACAAGTAGGTAGAGAGGCAGGCAGAGACAGAGAGGGAAGCAGGCTCCCTGCTGAGCAGAGAGCCCAATGCAGGACTCAATCCCAGGACTCTGGGATCATGAACTGAACGGAAGGCAGAGGCTTTAACCCACTGAGCCACCTAGGCGCCCCTACTGTTGAATTTTTATAGTCAATCTGTAATGCTTTAAAAAATTTTAACATGATATTCCTATGTTTGAGATAAAGGAAAAGATATAAAACCGAGCATAATTAATTAGAACTTGCCAGGTCTAAATAATCAAGAAAAAACTGGAAATGAGATTTTTTTTAAAGTTTTATAAAGAGTATAGTAAATGAAAATAAGTGTGAGATATTCTACTGTGAAAAGGATTCTTCTATGAGTAGGTAATAACACAGCCAGGTTATCCCATCACTCATTTTAAGAGAGAGCAAGGAGGGGAGCCTGGGTGGCTCAGTTGTTAAGCATCTGCCTTCAGCTCAGGTCATGATCCCAGTGTCCTGTGACTGAGCAGAGTCCTGGGATCGAGCCCCAGATCCCTGCTCAGTGGGAAGCCTGCTTCTCCCTCTCCAACTCCCCCTACTTGTGTTCCCTCTCTGCTGTCTCTGTCTGTCAAATAAATAAAATCTTAAAAAAAAAAAAGAAAAGAGATGGCAACTAGACCAAGAAATTCATTAAATCAAACAACACAATATCATTCCTTTTGGAGCTAACTCGACAGAGCTCCTAGAGAAATGCAGACATCCCATATTCTTAGCAGGAAATTATAATATCACATAATGACTAATTATAGGGCCAGTTTCTTTCTCCAAATTATCAAGAGCACTAATATTCCTTATTAAGAGGCTTTAGCCACCAGTTCCATAATCTGTAGGTTCTTGATAAATGTTTGTTAAACTTGCTGAAGATACTGGTCAAATTAAGAGGAATCAGTGATGAGGTTACTTCAAGAGCTTCGGCTTATAGTACAGATTTGAGGGGAGCAAAAACCAGATCCTGAGAAAAGCAATGATTTGTTTCAAACATGATTTACTGAGCACTACTCTACTCTGGAGATCCAGTCTCCATTTTTACATTGAAAAGTTCGGATTAGGTATTATGCTAAGCAAAATAAGTTAATCAAAGGAAAATAATTATCATATGATTTCTCTGATATGAGGAATTTGAGAGGCAGGGCATGGGTTGTGGGGGGTATGGAGGGAGAGAGGGAAAAAAATGAAACAAGATGGGATTGGGAGGGAGACAAACCATAAGACACTTTTAATCTCATGAAACAAACTGAGGGTTGTTGCAGGGGGGAGTTGGATAGGGTGGCTGAGTTATGGACATTGGGGAGGATATGTGCTATGGTGAATGCTGTGAAATGTGTAAGACTAATGATTCACAGACCTGTACCCCTGGGGCAAATAATACATTATATGTTAATAAAAAATTTTTAAAAATTAAAAAAACATTGGGATTATATTTTCAGAATCAGGGATCTGCTGGTCACTTTAATTTTACGTAACTTTTATAAACTCTAACAAAGTAGAGTTGAGGACAGTGGGTGAATACATATTCTGAAACATGGAAGATACAAAGTTATATAAGAACCAAACCAAAGAGATTATATAGAACATAAATAAAGATTCCCTGAGAAGTAGTAGGTGCCATGCAATTTATTACTGACTTGAAGAGGCATTACCCCCAGAATTACACGTGAAGAAGGTAAGAGGTGTGGCTTACTATTGTTACACAGCAAGTAGGGTAGCAGAGATTACTTCCAAGTCCTGACCCTAAACTCTGGGTCCAGTGATCTCCATACTACAGCCCAGCTGCATACATTCTGTTCAGGAATGTAGGAGGGCCATCTAAAAGAGCACCAATATGAACAGTAACGCCAGATGAAAGGATGATGCTGAAAAGGGAAGAGTATTCCCTCTTCAGCAAGTGGAGCAATTGAGTCAAGGAGTATAAAGTCTGGATCCATGCTAGACAGACCAACAAGCAATTTTACTTCTTTTTTTTTTTTTTTTTTAAACAGATTCTTTTTTTTTTTTTAAAGATTTTTATTTATTTATTTGACAGAGAGAGATCACAAGTAGACGGAGAGGCAGGCAGAGAGAGAGAGAGGGAAGCAGGCTCCCCGCGGAGCAGAGAGCCCGACGCGGGACTTGATCCCAGGACCCTGAGATCATGACCTGAGCCGAAGGCAGCGGCCTAACCCACTGAGCCACCCAGGCGCCCCAATTTTACTTCTTTTTTTTGTGATACTGCAATTACTTTTGCTGCTGCCATAATAATTCATAAAAGCCAGTCATTATTACCACATGCAAAAGTAAACTAGAAATAACTCTTCCACTCAGACTCACTGGTTCCTCAAGATGTAGGTCTTACAGGCAGGTCTACATACAGGTCTTTTGGCTAAAATATTTTACTTCCTATTATCTAAAGTGACAATGTGGTTATTGCAATAAAAAGCATGCTATTAGTCTTTTAACATATCAGGAGTTAATGTTATAATATTTTTACAGTTACAAAAGCAGGAGCATCTCATGTGTTATAGAGAGATAAGTGGACCAATTACTGCAATAGATTCTGTTTTTCAATCAGAAATCAGAAATGTGAATAAACTAATATTCTTTTATTACTTGTATATGTCATAGAAAAATAAAATTATAGACCAACATAAGAAGATATATTCTAGTTGTTTATAAATTTCAGAGGGTATATAAGGGAACTTGGTACAATCCATGAAAGAGTCAACACCTAGAATCATACTTAGCAACATGGTTAGTAGATGTTGAAGAGAGTTCTACTGATTCATTCTGTAAGCAGTCTGCTCAATTTTCCCTACCTATCTCTAGCAATCAGTGAAACAAACAAGCCAAAGAAGCATTTTTTAGCAACAGAAGGTCAAACTTATTTTGAGTACTCCCTTTGATAGATGAAAAAAATCACACAGTAAAGCAGTTAGAAATTGCCTACACTGAAACAATCCCTGTAGAAATGTCTGGTTACTAACCACCTAGTGAAAAGCACCCTAAGAAGCACAGATGGAAATGTGTGTCTCTACCAGTGAGGTTTAAAAATAAGGGCTTAAAAAGAAGAGTGGAGAAGAAATTAAAAAAAAAAAAAATAAGAGGGCGGGAGGAAGGGAGGGGAGAAAGGAGGAAGAGAAGAAACAGAGGGGGAGGAGGGAGAAAAGGGAGAGAACAGAAGGGGATGGAGGGACAGAAGGAAATCATTAGAAAACTAGCCAAAGAGAGGAAAATAAAGATATTGAAAAAGTTATCAAGATGGGAAGAGTGGCTAAAAGCCAAAAGAAGGTAATACAATTTTTATGTTATCTTTCAAAATGAAGATACTCCAAAAGAATATAGCCTATTCCAAAGGAATGCAGCTCTCTCAACATTTCAACACTATGACTTAATGTAACAGTCCTAAATAGTGGGACAAAGAAATACAAAAAGAATCTTATGGCCCACAGGTGGAGTGATTATATTTTCTATAGCCTCCAAAAATTAGATTTCTCAAAAATAAACAAAACTCTCTCAGACCCACCAAGAACAATATCTTTTCAATCTATCATGAGATGGAATTTTGTGTTTTCTAACTAGCAAGAAAATTAATCCTTAGGCAAATACAAATACCAAAGCTAAAATTCAAAAATAGATGGCTCATTAAATACAAGTTCATAGACTTAACTGAAGGACTGGCTGAAGACTTAAGGGAGAAGCAGGTAGCTGGTACAATACTGCATAAGAATTTCTTAGATATTTTACTTCCCCAGGGTGCCTTGGTTTCAAAACGTTAACATATTCGCTGCCTTAATCTGACTTTATCAAGCCAAAGTAGTCTTAAATTCTACTTTTGCCCTAAGTTAATAATGAATTCAGAAAGAATAAGTGAGAAACCAAAGTGGATAACCATGTGTTTGGGTACAACTAAATTTGTAATTAGTTGGAAAAAAAAGTATTACACTTACTCATACCACTGTTTATTGTGTTTTCGGTAAAGCAACGTATCCAAGGCAACAGCATTGACATCCAGAGCTCCTGGGGAAGGCCACTGGTTGGTGAGGTGGGCAGTTAACTCTTGTCTTGATCTTAAATCATTATTCTTTAGCACAGTCCTGTGAATATTAAGATGGTGAGTGCTTTTGTCTTCACTGTTCTGCAATGGCAGAGGAACCTAATGGTATTAATCTGGCCCCCAAAATTCATTTTTTAAAAATGGTATGTTAACAGATTGTCAACAGAGCTATCGGGGCTATTAATGTCTCCTACCACATGTGGTTTTCATTCTTTCTCTACAGGCTACAACAAACCACTAACACGTGGAGTTCAGACTTCTGATCTTTTCCACACAGATATTACTAAAGGACTAAAGGTGCATCTTGCACCTTACCTAAAAAATTTTGGTATCTTAAAGTTATAGATTATTAGATTCCAGTTAAAATAAGAAAAGATTCCATGTATATGATTTTCTAGCATCAACATTCACTCAATTAAGTTAACTTAGTAAACAAAAAAGAATTAAAATGAATAAAAAATAAAACTAAATGCAGAAAAATACTAAAAAAAATCCATAAGGTGTCTGGAATTTTTTAATAGAAGTAACTACCAATAAACCTTTATGAAAATAATTAACTCAATGATAACTGAACACTATAACCCACTAGAAATATTTCAACTATGGAATGAAGCCATTGTAACAGTTCACAATTTACTCTCGGTTTTGTAGAACCATTACTCATTAATAACAATTTGCAAAAGAGCTAACTTTGGGCCAAAATTTAAACCTCACAAACCAATCAGTAACTGTCACAAGACTAATTCAGCATTTGAACTGGTGGTTAAAGATAAATTTAAAAGCATAATTCTGCTTGCAAAGGCCCTATTCTACTTCTAAAAAGCTTCAAAATACCATGTAGGCAAGACCCCTTCTCTAACAGGAGTCTGTGACTTTGGTGTACCAAAGTCTGAGCCATCATCTCAGAAGCAGGGAGGTACCACGTGTCCGCCGCTAAGTGTCTGAAACAATCGTCCGGCTGTGGGTGGCAGAGCAGTGGTGTGCCGGCAAGACAATCCTGCACACCAAAAATGAACCTACACAATACGTCTATCTGTAAACTATGACTCAAATGGAAAATTTGGTTTTTATATGTCTCTATGTATTTATATGTCTCTAACAGGCTACTTAGGAATATTTCTGCTTTTACAGGGTATCTGTGTATACTTTTGCTCCATCTATGCCACGAACAAACATTACTTGAAGTAAATACCAAGTTTAATCTCAGAATGGAATACTAAAAAAGTGAAAGAGGCAGAAGAAGTCTGTGAGAAGGTATCACGTTAAGATATTCTTGTAGGCTACCTGAAACAATTTCGTTTCACTGGAAAAAGAATGAAAATTTTAAAAAGGACTTTTAAGGTACTTTAACATGGGTTTTTATGAAAATAATAAAGAGTTCAGAAAAACTTCAAGACTGACAGAAAATCAGGTTAAGCAGAAATGGGGTTACTGGCCAGAGAATCTATTAAAATAAGCCACACTTATTTTGGCTTCTCTTACTAGCCTTTTCTCTTTCACATATTCACTCTCTCTAGGGTCTCAGAGAGTGTCACTGGGAAACCCAACTTCGATGTCATCACTGTTTACAGGAAACAGAGCAGAATGCAAGAAAGACAAATATGCATCTTTGAGGAAATGACATCGGAAAATTCAGTCAATATAAGTAATTGAACAACTTCCAATTTAGAATATATTATTCCTGGAAATTGAAAAGTTTTAGACTGCATAAATGAAAAAAAAAACTAAGTTTCACGGAAGTTTTTACACAGTACTTGTCCCTGGAGAATTTTTGCCTAATGACAACTTATCGTACTGTCTTTAGAATTCTGTGTTTAGAAATCCCAATGACATTGTTTCCTATGGGCAGCTGCCCTGTGCTTTGAAACAGGAGACAGAGACTGCAGTGTACTGGACAGGCTCAGCTTCTATCCAGGCTGCACCTGCTTTCCACCTTCTGTGATGAGTATGGAGACAGACAATACTGGCTTTGTGCTGCCACAGCAAATGGGAAAGGTTCCTAGAGAATCCTTGTGTAAGGCCGCTTCTCTCACTGCTCTAGTATACGAAGGAACAGGCAAGCGGATTTAAGGGATGTAGAAAACCCGACCCCTGAATTCTGAATCTTGATTCCGTCTACTTAGATAATGAAGATACAAAGCAGTTTATTCATTCTAGCAGTGGGCTCTGACCAAAATGACCAGCACAGAGACAGACCTCAAGTTCCTACTTGCTAGCTCTGAAGTAGCTCATCCTACCTCTCTCCAAGCCTACTTTTCCAGTCTTTCTTTCCATTCCTTGAGTTGTTGATATCAATCTAAGGAATTCCATTTTTGCTTAAGAGTTGACTGTGCTTTCCTACAATCAAAGAATCCTATTACTCACTGAGAACAAGCAGAACACACCTAGTTAACTTTAAGACCTACACAAAGGTAATATAAATGAGGTTAATATGGAAAATGAGGATATTTTTCTCATTGGCCAAGCTTAAAAATAGGTTCATCTTAAATTACTCAAATTTTCTCCTAGTGTGAAATCAGTGGCAATTTAAGGTAAAATTATGTGATTTTTAGCATTTAACTTTACTTAGAACTCTAACCAATGTTAACACCAATAAGCTAATCTAAAAATTAAATCATTCTATACGAGATAGATTCTGCTTATCATTTCTATGATACAAGTCTTTCACTAGCAACTGAACATCTCTCATTAAAGTAATAATTCTACAGAAAGGTACAATAAAGGAAAATTATTTATTACAAAAGTAGCAGCAACATATTTATCACAGCTAATTTTAAGAACTTTCCTGTGGTAGCTACCTTAAATTGCTAGATAGATCATTTCTCTTCAGATCTTCAATAGGAATTATGCAAGAATTTGGCCACAAAAATTCTAATTTAATCCCCCTACTGCTTTACTGAGGTATAATTAGCAATTAAAAACTGTATACATCTAAAATGTACAACTTGATTTTGTAGACATAACAACATAATCACCACATTCAAGCTAATTAACATATCCATCACCTCACAGTTGCCTCTTGTGTATGATGAGAACACTTGAGATATACCCTCTTAGAACACTTTAGGTATACAATACAGTACTAAGTATACTCATGTTGCTGTACATAGATCTCCATAATTTATACATCTTGCATAACTGAAACATTTTACTTTCTGAACATCATCTCACTTCCCCCTCTCTCCAGGCCCAAAGGGGTACAAAATGGTTGTCCATTCTAATCTCTGCTTCTATGCATTTGACTATTAGATTCCACATATAAGTGAGATCATGCACTATTTGTTTTTCTCCATTTGGCTTATTTCACCTAGCATAATTTCCTCAAGTTTCATCCATATTATTTCAAACAGCAGATTTCCTTTTTTTAAGGTGGAATTATTCTCTATAGTGTGCTTATGTGGATAAAGACACAGGGTCTTCATATATCACATTTTCTTTATCCATCCATGAGTTTCCTTCCACTTTTTGGCTATTGTGATTGAGATATATATATTGAGATATAGCATGGAAACATCAGTTTGAAAAACACCTGGGATATATGGAAAGGAGATTATTTACTAATTTATTTACTAGCAGAATGTGTGCTTGTGGAGCAGGTATCTTTAGGAGACTTCTCCAAGAACAAAAGAGCTGATGGGTACCATTTCCTTACCCTGTCCCCCAGCCTGGATATGAAGACACCTGCAGAACTACTGCAAGCACTCTCTATGTAGCTTGCTAGCAGTGCCTCCCGAACCCCTGTTCTCTCCCGTGGACTGCCCCCTCCAACCTCCACTGGGTAGCTCTACAAAGTGGCTCCAGCTCCCCTCCCATAGCAAACCTACTCACCCACTACACTTATTAAAAGTGTGCCCCACCCCCACATTGTTCTGCAGACCCACACCATCCAACCTGCCCTAGGCAGCAGTCCAACCAAAGAGGCACCACAAGTCTAGCACTGTGCAAGCAGCCCGACAGTGTCCAACACCACTCCAAAAAGACTGTTGCCCTGATGAAAGGGAAATTCACCCATGCACTAGCTCTACTGCAGTCCCAGCAGTGGCCTGGGGGCAGACACCCAGTCTGACTGCAGGCCCCTCCCACCAATGAAAGTCTCTCAGGGGATAACAAAGAGAGAGTGACCTGTCGTTTGGTGTGACCACAGTTCTGGCAAATGCCTAGTCAGACCCAACTCAAGTCCAAAGACCCACTAACAACAAAGGGACCAAATGCTGCTTGAAACAGGCAAAAGTGCCATCGCAGATGACAGAAGGGAAAAGCACTCAGTCACAATGGTAAGGGGCATGCAACAGACATAGCTGATGCCTCTGAAGCTCCAGGTTCTGGTGAAGAGGGGACATTGCCCTGAAGGGCACTATAGGAACCTTTCTTCATAAGGCAACTACTTTCAAGAGCAGGAGACTCACATGACTTTCCTAACACAGAGAAACAGACATAGAGAGTTAGACAAAAATGAGGAAATAGAGAAATATGTCCCAAATGAAAGAAGAGGACTAAATCACAGCAAGAGAGTTAACAAAACAGAGACAATCAATATGTCTGATAGAGAATTTAAAATAATGTTCATAAACATAATCACTGAACTTGAAAAAAGAGTGGAGGACCTCAGTGAGACCCTCAACAAAGAGACAGAAAATACAAAAAAGAATCACATAGAGATGAAGAACTCAGTAACTGAAATTAAAAATTCACTAAGAGAATAATGAATTAATTAGAGGAAGTAGAAGGATGGATCAGTGACCTGGAGGACAGTGTAATGGAAAGCAATCAAGCAGAACAGGATAAAGAAAAAAGAAAAAGAAAACAATTAAGAATAGATTAAGGGAACTCAGTGACACCATCAAGTGTAATAACATCTATACTATAAGGATCCCAGAAGAGAAAAGAAGGGGGCAGAAAATTTATTTGAAAAAATAATAGCTCAAAACTTCTCAAATCTTGGGAAGAACACAGAAACCTAGAACCAGGAGGCACAGAGATCCCCCAATGAAATCAATTCAAGGAGGTTCACACCAAGACACATAATAATTAAATGACAAA